TGTTGCATAACATGGAAGGTGAGAGGCACCTGAGTAGGTGGCACTACTATCCACCAGATCAGGTGGAGTTGGCTGGCATGTGTAGTCTTCCTCACGCCGCAGAATTGACGTTGGAGTGTAGTTGTGTACTTCTTGTTGTCGTCCACTCATGTTGTTATTCGGTGGATGCGGTGTGGCTGGTAATATGACAGCCGATTGGTGTGTTGCAGAAAGAATTCAGCTCTAAGCGTCAGGCATATGAGGTGGACATGGAGTTGGAGCTGCCGTGGCACAGGCTGCAGAGTACCAACAGATCAACATTGGGCGAACTCTTTACTGGCTTCACTGCTTACTACGCAGGATTTGATTTCAACCAAACTATCTCGATTTGCAGTGGTGGACCTTCCCATATGTGTACGTCTATGATCGAAGTCGAAGGTGAGTGGGAGCGCTGTGAATGTGGATGGGATGGAGACTTGGTTTCTTCCTTTCGCCTTATTAGAGGCAAGGAGGAATGAATAAGTTGTTCACTCACTTGATGGTGTTGTGATGCTGTGCTTTGGAAGTGTTGTGTCGGGCAGTAAAAGGGTTGAAAAGCGGAGTGAATTGTAATGAAGACTGTTATAGTTGAGCATAATGACGCTGGCGGCTATCATGGACAGCATTCACACTGGTATTGATGTGTACTCCTGTGATGAGGGTTTACCGTCGACTTCGTCAGTGGTGATTTTGGTCGAGGTCATGATTTGGAGGATGGAGCCTACGGCGATCTGATATCCAACAGAAATGGGCACATTGCATTGTAAGGGTTGTAATGGAACGCTGGGAAAGGTGTGGTGCTGTTTGTGGGCCGTGGTGTGAGGTATTGCTTGGAGGAGTGTATGCTGGGGTGTTTAGGAGGGTGGACTTTGAGTAACTAACGAGGTGTGGTGGAATTTGAGAGGTTTTCAGAGCATTCGATTGTAAATCTGGGAACGAAAGGAGTTGGAGTGGTTGTGTGTGCATTAGGGGTTTACTTTCTTGTGTGGTGGTGGCGGC